GGACTTCAGTTTGTCATTTGGTCAAACCATGTTTTCAGTATTGTACGACTACTACTAAAGGGTTTACACGAACAAAAGTTAGAAGCAAATCCTCTAACTTGGCTCCCTCCAGCACCCACGATCCCCCGGGCTCACCTGCTGCTCCTCAAGGTTGTATCATTGACTTTTCCAAGTAATCAAACACTGCAATCAACTTGGTGGAACACTGAGCAAGTCTCAAGATAGCACACAGAAGTAACACACGTGACCCCCTCACAGAGCTCCTGTTGCTAAAGCTCATGACGAGGTGAAGCTGGCAAGGCAGGATGATGCGTGGGTGAGGCCCTGCTCCCGCCAGGGCCACCAGCTCCATGCAAGAGATGGTTAGTAGAGACCTGATGTGGGCAGGAGGCCATAAAACCTTTATGCCACTTTCCAGACTGAGGCTTTGTCACATTTCAGGAAGGGAAAGGTAAGTGATTATTATAAGCCACACAAAACAAATCAGCAATTGCTATACGAGGCCACACATACAGGTAACTGACCGCGGGATGGGCATCAGACCTGTCCAGAAGTGCAAGTGCGATCCTGCTGCAGACAGGTGGCAATGGTCCACCTGCATCTACCCACTTTGGCTTTGGAGGAAGGAAAGAGTGCTCACTCTCGGTCCTGGGCCAGGCGTCAGCTGTCAGAGGGCAGCAGGGAGCAGGCCCAGAGAGCACACAGGTGAAGAGGCGGCACCGACTCCCCTAGAGGTCACAGGAGCTTCCACAACAGGAAACCCTGTCGGCAAAGCTGGACCTGCCCACCAACAGGAGGGAAACCATGCTGGTCCCCCCTTCACTCTCAGACCAGGAGGAGCACTGCCCCCTCACCCCGTCCTGATCTCTGACCAGGACCTTCATGTGGAATGAGGCGTCACGGTCCTGCAGTTCAGGGTAGGTCACCATTCCAAAATTCACTCATTCAACCACATGTGAGGAGTGCAGGAGAGAAGTCTGTGGCCACCCAGAGAAACCACATGGCAAAGCCCAGTGGACTGCAGAAGCACCCTCAACCTGAGGTGGACACCTTCAAAACCCAAAAGGGTGGACCACCCAGCTAGGGAAATACTGGACACTCCTGCTACTGGGACAGGAGGGGGCAGCCACTGTCACATGCTTACCCATCATTCCAATGGTGGGTCTAACAGTGCCTGAAAGGTAGAGAGAGGAGCCTACTCCCCTTGCACAAACCAGAGACTACAGGAGCCCTCAGGAACTGCAAAGCCCCAGAACAGTCCTTCCTCGGACCCCAGGGGCCTGTTCCAGGACTAACAAGGACACTAAATCCAAGGACACTCCTCCCTTACATAACATGGTGTAGCATAGGCACGTCCCCAAGCACACACCCCTGTACACTGTAAATCTCTGTACTACTTATAATATCTAATAAGCATAAATGCTGCCTGGTCTAATGCACTGTTCAGGGAATGATAAGGAAGAAAAGCCAACGTGTTCTGAACAGATACAATTTTCCCAGTTTTTCTTATCCCCATTTGCTGAATCCACAGATGTGGGAGCCTCAGACATGGAGAGCTGACTGAGCAGTAGGCCCTGCCCACCCAGAGAGGATCCATGAAGACCCCAGTGGGCACCCGACACTGGACAGCCCCAAACCCCATACACACCACCTTCGATCTACATGCCTCTGATAAAGTCTGATCTATAAGTCAGGCATGGTGACATCAACACAAAACGAACCACGCCAGCCACGCACGTGAGGTAAGTCACGTGCACATGGTCTCCGACTACATGGCACTCACCTCCTTCCTGTCATGTGAGGTATCTGGAGCACTTCGCTGCTTCTCCCCAGGTCTGTGTTGCCGGCGCTGCTTCTCTCATGCTCTGGAGCCACCACCATATAAACTGAGGGTTACTTGAATATGAGATTTGTACCACCACCAGTCGGTCTGATAACCATGGCTGTTCAGAGGGACTGACAGGTAGATAGCGTAGACAGCACAGACACACTGCACAACGGACGGCTCAGAATGCAGCGGCAACTGTCTACAGACTGTCATGAGACCTAACCTAAAGCGTTTCTTCCTGGAATCTTCTACTAAGTATTTTTAGACCCTGGGTGAGGATGGGTAGCACACGTCAGAAAGTAAAACTATAGGCAAGGTTGGGGCAGTGGTGGACACTACTGCACTGAATCTAGCCAAGATCCCAGAGAGTAAGATCAACATACAAAATCAATTGTCATAACCAGCAGCAATAATTTAAAAATTAAAGTTTTAAACTGACTTAGAAGACCGTCAATAGTAAAGTATTTAAAAATCAATTTCACAAAAGACATGCAAGGTCCCTATGCTAGAAACTGCAACACACTGCTGGGGACAATGAAAGAACCCAAACAGGAAATCATGTCACAAGTTGACAAGTTCAACAGAGATGTCAACCTCCAAAACACAGATACACACAGCTCTCCATCAACCCCAAGAAGACGGGCACCCAACTCTGGAGGCAATGTGTGACAACTAGGCCTAGAACCAGGGTGACCTCAGAAGAAGCTGAGGACTCACCTCCCCGATTTCCAGGCCAATCACCAAGCCACGTGGTCAAGTCAGCAGGAGCTGGCACAGAACAAGCACGGGTGTGCCCAGCAGTGGTGCCCAGACAGGACCCGTGCTCCTGGCCAGCTGGCTGACAAAGGCACCATGGTGATCTGATTGGGGGGGGGGGGCTTCTGGGGGCTTTTTCAACAAATCATGACACAACTGAATAACTAAGGAAAAAATGACTCAAGATGGGTCACACATCTAAAAAGAACCACCAGGATGAAGCTTTCAGAAACTGTAGGAGAAGATGGTGGTGAAATTACAGCAGAGAACTATTTTTTGAAGAAAATAATTGCTAAATGTAAACCAAACTGAATTTCTCAAAAACTAAAACCTTCGCACCAAGAGTCTATCAGAAAAACAAACGTGCAACTAAAAAAACAAAACCACAGCTCACGGATGTGACGAAGGACTTGTGTCCGAAACCACAAATCAGTGGCAAAAACCTCCGCAAGCCCGACTCAAGAGGGACAGAGACTTAGAATGCAAATGAAGACCCCAGGGGCAGCACAGCACGCCCACCAGAAGGCGAGAGTCCCATCTTGAAGGCAGTCCCCGCAGGGCAGCAACCGAGGCGTGCTGCTGTGGAACAGCAAGGCCGCTTTGGGGGACGCCCCAGACATTTCTTACAAAGCCAGACACATTCGCCATTCGATCCAGCCATTCCCCTCCCTGGAGTTCGAGGAAAAGAAATGAGAACAGGCGTCTACCAAGAGACGTGACCAATGACCCACTAACAGGAATGACCATGGATTGAAGGGGCACAAGGTGACCTTCTGGAGCGTTCTAGATCTTGGTTAGGGCAGTGGCTCTATAGCTGGAAATGTTCATCAAAACACAATGAATTATACACTTAAAATAGAAACTTCACTATGTGAATTTTACACTTTAAAAAAATAGCAATATTGGGAACGTGATTCTGAGTATTCAGGTTTATACTAGTCTCAACTTTTTTTTTGAGGGGGGGTGTCACTGGGTTTGAACCCTGCTCACAGGGCTCTAGCTCTAGCCAGAACGTACAGTGGCCTTCCTTGCCTGGTGGCCCAGAGAAAGGCAGAGCAGAGTCGGTTTCCCTGGCTCCTCTCCCCTGCAGCACGAGGGCAGGGGCACAGCCTGGAGAGCCCCAGGGCAGCGGAGAGGAGCCCAGCCGCTCGGCCAGGACACCTTTCTCCTAGGGTAACCACTTGGCGGCTGTTTTCACAGCTGAATCGGATGCTCAGTTGGGCCACAAGACTCAAGTAGAAACTCGCAGTCAAGCCTCTGCACGCTGCTCCCAGGGTCCGCAGCAGGCTCTTAACCACACCTAACTCATAACACCCGGTTTTCACTTTCTTCCCAGATTTGCTGCAAGGACATTTACCTTTTCTCCAAAAGGCGGGAGCAGGGGGATTGGGGGACCCAACCCATAATTCCTGTGATTTACTGCGCAAATGAACATGCAAAGAAAGAAAATGACATTTTCCCCTACAAATTATTTGGTGCCTGTGATTTTCTGAACACGGGAGCCAGATGGTTCTCATAGACTGAAGAGCATATTCATGTAGTTCAAAGGTTTGCTTATTTTTCAGTCTTAAAAAAGGCTATATTGATTGTAACACACAGCTCTACAGGAAAAGCCCCGACGGTGGGGGGAATGCTGATATTTATTACCACACTCGTGCTCATTACAGCCGTCTCTGACAGGGGTCCATTAAAATCAATTTTTATGTTTCTTATGTATTTTCTTTATCTAATGTTCTTGGCATTGTGTTTATTAGCCAGTTAAGACAACACCGGGCATGAGAGTGGGTGGTTTTTTTCCTTCTGTCAGGAATAACGGGACTGTGATTTTAACACGACTCTTGGTCAATGAGAGGAGGAAATTAAACRCTGCATTTCAGAACAAAGCGTTAGAGAGCACTTTCCATTTATGCTTTTACAATTAGAGAAACTCGGTGAGGATCGTGCAAGAGAAACCCACGTCCCCTGGGAATGGCGACGCCGGTCAGGCTGAAGGCCCTGCGCCTGCAGGCTGTGCTCACTGCCTCCAGAGGGCCCAGATCCCGACACCGCATCCCACAGGGGAAGCAGGACCTCACCCAGCGGGCCGTTCACCAAAACCCCAGTCTGGCTTAAAAAAAAGAGATAAGGCACGTATTATCCAGCCACCAAATTCCCAGGGACATCCCCACAGCGCACGCCTTAGAGAATCAATGCTCAATCAACCCCTCCTTGAAGGTGTACTGAATCCAATGCCTGGAGCCACTCATCGGAGGTTAGGCCCCATGTTAATTGAGATGGAGCATTGGGGCAACCTGTGGGGGCAGACAACAAGGAATGTCTGTGGCAGCAGGGGCTCCTCCTTACCCTGTGGCCAACAAGTCACACTAGTTGCTTTCAGCTGGTGCCCCCCCCCCCACAATGGGTGGCACGCACTCACTCAGTGGAGGTCTTTGGGCTCAGAAGCCTTATCCGGTGCAGGCCCTGGTCACAGCCAGACAGCTCCATCTTCCCCAGCGGGCTCTCCAGCACTTTGTGTTTCAGGACACAGGCCTTGTCCATTCTGCCAAGTGCCTAGAGAGAAAAGATTTGAGGTCAAGTGAGGAGCATGTGCAGAAGGATCTGGCTGGTCTCACGCACAGCAGAGGCACCAGCTGGCTACACACAGGACATAGCCCATGTCTTCTTGGCCTCTTCCTCCTGGTTGGAATGTGTCACATTTGCAACAGTCACTTTCAAGACAAAAAATTACCTCAATTACCTAGAGCAGCCAACCAACACCTCCCCTCTGCTCACGTTCCTTTAATTACTGCATTCTTCACCTGCCCCAACTTTAACCAATACAAAGGTAGAAAGAAGCCGAGCTGGGCCAAGCTCCTCAAACAGTTGCTAAAACTAAGGTAACCTTGCTTTCCTAAGAGGACGACCAGAGGACTGACACAGGCAAACAGTCTGGACGCCTGGGGCTGGCTCAGTGGTGGACATGCTCGGGGATACCAGAGGCCCAGAGGCCCCAAGGCCCAGGTGCAGCCCCTGGCCCAGCAGAAAGAATACAGCGAGGCCTGCAGTCGTGCAGAGAGATGGGGAGACCAGCCCTGCTGGGGGGCGCGGGGGTACCAGCTAGCAGGCTTGGGCGAAGGCCCGGTGTGGGGACACTGAGGTGGTGGACCCCTCTGAGCTCAGTTTACAGTCAGAAAAACATGCACCTGCTTTGCTCTGGACGCATCCTTGTTAGCAAGTTTGAAGTTAACTTCGGTCAGGAAATCCAGAGCTAAAGACAAAGACAGTGAGAAGCTAGTGACAGAGTCCAGGCTGGTGTTTATGAAAGTCACTCTGATGCAGAGTGAGGAAGGGCGGGGGTAGGTGCGCCTACCTGGACCAGAGGAGCCTTTCCACCCCCTTGGGATTCCTCCTTCAGTTCTGGGAAACAGGAAGCGCACCACTCACTTCCTGCTGCCTTATAGGCTCAGGAGTCCCAGAATGCCCCCCATGACCCCACCCACCATGCCTGGCCACCCTCTCCCTCCCCCTCCCCTCCCCCCGGGACCTCCCTGAGCCCACACTTGGGGGAGGGGCTGTGTACATTGGCTGCCTCCGCCTCTGTGTTCTAGAGCCACCTGGGATGAGCCCGTCCAAACCACCACCCTGCAAGAGTGCGTCTCTCTGTTGTGTCTCACAGAGGGGCAGCTGCCTCCAGTGGCACGGGTGCCACTCACAACCCACACCCAGCACAGAGTGCCTCCCATCCCTGCCCCCCGGCACCCCACCCACACCTGTGGTTTGAGAAGCCTGCATCCCCACAGCTCCACCTGCAGCCCCTCGTGGACCCTCACCTGCAGCCCCTCGTGGACCCTCACCTGCACGGGGCAGCGTCGTCCTCACTGCCGCCTCACCTGGGCTTCCTCTGCTTCCTCTGCCCACCTGGCGCTGGCCCCCCAGTGCTCACACAGATCAGCTGTCTGCATTGGGGGCTAGACCAGGCCAATAGCAGCGGCCCACGGGCCCTATCCACTGGCTGCCTGTCTGACTCGGGTGCTGAAGGAGCATGGCCAGGCCAGGCTGGCTCTTCACCTACAGTCAGCTGCTACCTCGGTTCCCAGGCGAGCTGGAGACAGGGTGGCCTTGGAGCCTAGGATGCCTGACCCCTGGCCCCTGCCAGCTCCCGTCTGCAGACCCTTCAAGGTCACCTCTCTGCTCCCCACACTGGGGCAGCCCAAGTCCTCAGCCTTCCTCACACAGCATGCAACCTTAAGTCTACCTCTGCAGAAACGCCCTTGCCCTGCTGTCCCCGCTGGGCCCTGTGCACCCACACCGCGCGGCCTGGCCATTCCTTCCCGCTGGCCCTCCTCCATCTGCAGCACCCATCAAGCCATCTTGCCTCTAGCTCCTGACGCCGCTTCTCTTGTCTGTCTCCATCAGCCAGAGGAGAGGTGCCAGGCTTGGCCAGCCATCCGGGTGCCATATCAGTCCCAGGACTCAGCCCTCAGCACCAGACTCAGAGCTGCCCCAAGCAAAGGTGCCATTCTGAGCATGTTGGCAGAGATTTGAAACTATGTACTCAGGGGCCCTGGGTGTGGAAGAGCCATTCAGGGGAGACCTCAGCCTTGGGTCACAGGTCAGAGACACCACCTGACCACATCAGACTGTGTAAATGCCCCACCTTCTGGGGCACCCAGTGTCTGCAGGATGAAAGCCCAACTTCCCAGCAAGTGCTGGGAGCACTTGCCTGTCTGCACCTCACAGGGGGAAGGACCAGATGAGGGCAGGGGTGTGGCTGTGGCCTGCTACCGCTGGTCTGCTTCTTTGAGAACGTCACTTAGACTATTTTCACTTAGTGGCTTTATCTGGAAGATGAACAGTAGCTAGAAGGAGAGGTCAGCTCGAGGGGTAAGAACAGGCCCTGGAAAGGCCTCCAGGGGATGGGGTGCCACCCACAATCCACACCCAACAAAGAGCCACTATTCCACCCTGTCACCTGAGTGCCCTGGCTTTCTCCCCAAATCATCCAAGCACCAAACGCTGCCCATTCTTGGACAGCAATGCCCACCACCCCTCTCACTGCCAGGCTCTTGCCTTCTTGACTACGGAGCTATTTGCAGGTTCCTGAGACAGGGGCTGGAGTCCCCTAAAAGCACAACTGTCACACCCCAGGGGCTTATAAGCACTTGTTAACCAGAGCACCCAGCAGTGACCATGCCGGCGTTTTCCCAAGTGTGTCCATAGAAGACACTGCTCCGAGAAAAGGACTCGGGAGGGCGAGAGCTGCAGGCCCTGCCCCTCCTAGAGGCCCTCTGCACAGGTGGTCAAGCGGTGCGTGAGCAGCCTTGCAGCAAGAACCCGGTCAGTGTTTGCCTCACTCACCAGTGAAGCCCATGCAGAGCCCAGTCTCCCACCCCACTTAAGGCTCTGCTTCCCAGCAGCGCCCCAATGGGCATGGCCACCAGCTGGGGCTCCCGCCGGACCCCAGCATGATCCTGATGCCAAGCATCACAAACAATCTCAGCTAGCTGGAGCAGAGACAATTTACCAAAGGGCCCCCAGAACTTCTGGGGAGGCTGGAGGAGCAGCCTCAGGAAACAGCAGGCCCGGACACTGGCCACAGCCTCGCCAGAGCCAGCCTAAGAAAATATCTGTGGGGCCATCCACAGACAGCAGACCTGGGGGGCACTGAGCCACTGTTGTCCTGGAAACAGGATGTGACAGCACTGCCACCCTCATCATGCTCTGCTGCCCTGTGTCCCTGTCACCAGCTCCTGATTCAAGTCCCAGGAAGAAACCTGGACCTGGAGAGGGGGCCCAGCAAGTGCCCATCTGTGCCAGAGTGGCAGAGGCAGGGTGGCCCAGGAGAGAAGGGACTGCCACATCTTCCCCACAGAAAACGAGGACCCCAGAGCAGTGCACCATGGAGACCCGGAGCACCCCAACTGAGCATGGTCAGACTCCTCGCCCCAGATTCTCACCACAAGAACAGGAATGCCCGACCACACGGTGCCCTCCCACTGCCTCACGGAGCTGCCAAGCCAGGGCTCTGTGTGCTGCTCCCTGTGGGCAGGCTGGGGCCAGCACACTGCCCTGCACAGGATGCCCCTTCTGCCCCCTCCCCAGTCTGCACAGCCAGGGGACACATTCCAGTACGTCCAGCAGGGCTGTGAGGAGGGTAACTGGGGGAGAATGCTAGGGAGGCGAAGGAGGGGCGCGGGAGCCAGGAGCTCCCCTGCAGGGGAGGGGCTCGGCCCACCAGCTCCTCAGGGAGCAGCACATCCCAGGGTGGTCAGCCCTAGGCCCAACAGCTGGCCTCTGACCACAGATGGCACTGGCTGAACTTGGGAGGTGATGGACTTACAATGAAGTTGGGGAGTGTCCGGCTCAACTGGTGCAGCCAAATGAAGAACTGCCTGACCTGGAAGGGCCAGCTCTGTACCAAATGGCATCACCACCCAGCAAGTGCCAGGGACCCAAAGCTCTGCCCCCAACCGGCCCCTGCGATGCTGCCCCCACCCCTTAATTCCTTCGAGGAGCATCAATGTGCAGCACACACCCGGTACCACTGCCCCAGCTCTGGTAGCCCAGATTGACCTCTCATCCAGAGGACACCAGGAACCAGCTCCCGACCAGCCAAGGCCACCTGAAGCCACAAGAACATACCAAATCAGGCACAAAGCTAGGGGAGGGGCAGCAGAACCAGAGGCTTCATCCAAATCAGGCCAAAAACCGAGAAAGGGCAGTGGGCCTGTAACTGGAAAAACTGACGAGTTGGAAAACCCAAGCCGTGAAAGAGCAACGAGGTGCACGTACTGCCCGTGTCAGATCAGCTGGACATTGAGTCAGGTCAGGGTGAGGAAGGAAACTCCTGAGACCCCCTGACAGTTCAAACAGAACTGAAGCAAAACAGAGCCTTCTTCCCCGGAGCAGGCGACACCAGCCTCCCAGGGATGGCCAGCTCCTCAGGGCACTGCCTGGCTGGGTGTGTCTTCACTGGGACTCTTGGTTTTCCAAGCCCATTAGCAGAACTTCGCAGGTCAAAGGTCATGCACCCTAACCCACCAGTGCTACCTGCCACACAAAGAAGGGCAGCAATTTCAGCAGAATTTTACATCAGCCCTGCCAGAACGGGAGTCTAAGAAGCCACAGAAACCTGCACACCATCTTCTTCCTGTGGACTCCAGAGCATCTGCACACGGTCCTCCACAGGTGGAGGAAGACCAGTGCAACCGCAAGTCCAGAGCTTCAGGGGACAGTGAATGCCCAGGACCTGCCCCGGGCCACTGGGATGAGAAGCCCAGGGCGGCCCCAGCAGGTATGGCGTGTGTCCCTCGGGGACTGCATGGAGTAGAGGGGTGGCCTGAGAGCTGAAGGAGGGTATCACAGACACCAGGGAGGACACGCAGAAGCCAGAAGCTGGGAGCACGTGGGGCCTCAGGAGCATGGAATCACCAGGAGGCAAAGCCATCTCACCCAGCTCAGCGAGGCATGTGTGGGGCCACACGCGTAACGCCACGGGCTGGCGGAGGCAGTGGCTAGACAGGGACCTTCCCCCAGAGCTGTGTGAGCATGACACCCTGCACAGCAACACC